AATAATGGCTCGATTGAAAACCCGATTAAGGATGTACCGCCGTCTCGCCATTGATCACAAGCCCAACACCTCGAAGACAGATTAAACGAATGTCCGCGAGTAAGACGATCCCCCTTTATCTCGAATCTCCAGAACGTTCTCTCCCCGTTCGCCGCTCCGAGAGACCCTTTGAAACCCGCGGTACATATCCCTCACGAGCCCCACCCCCGGTCGTGAATCCTTTTATGTCGTGGCAGCCGAATGGTAGCAAATGTAGCATGGAACAAAATGAAACGACATGTATGATTTGCTCTGAAATAGATGCGTGCTTGATATATATGGAACTTGATCTTTTTGCTTAATATCTGCAATGTCATTTTGAAATTTTGGATTACTTCTTACTGTTAGAAAAAACATTCTTCTCACGATCGTTATGTCATCGATATCAAAACGACTATGAATTAATTATGAAATGTATCGATTTTAAAAATTGCGGGACGAGTATCTCATGATCGTAACGACCCACGTGCTTCTCTAAATTTGGCACGTTAAATTGATTGTATCGCGTCTTTCTTTCTCTCTCTCGTTAGGATTTCGGGATCTATTTCGCAATCTGTTGGATGTGCTCTCGAAACGGCGCACGGAATCGACAAAAAGTCGGATTTACAAAAATCCAGCCTGACCGGTTTTTTCGTTCTATCGCGTTTCATTGAGTCCCGACGCGTTTTGCCCAGTTTTTTGCGCCATTCTTCTCTGTTATTCAAGATGACACGTGAAAACACTTCGTTACAGATAGACTTTAGCGTAATAAATTTTTTAAATAATCCAAAAAATATTCAATGTAGCTAAAGTATTTCAAGATCGCTGAAGAATGCAAACTGTAAAGTCCAAATTACCCATCGTAGACTGATAGATATTATTATTATTACACTTCGATTATCTTATAGTCAAATATAAATTGAATAATCTGACTCGTGTCAATCGTGAGCAAAGATCCGAAAAAACGCGATTCCGTGTAGGTGTGGAGTACTGTGTGGGTTTATCGTTTCAGGTTGACAAAAATAAATGTTATTAACGCATCGCGATTTTTTAAACTGTCAATACCTGGATCACGAAACGTCTTTCTTCAAAAAATGAATGGGAAACGAATGAAGAGAATGAGAAAAAATGACAAGTCTCATTCAGACATTCAATTACATTAATTTCTACAAATTCTGTATCACACATTTAAAAATTGCTGCGATAAATTGATTGCTCTTGCAATGTAGCGTAAAAGTATTTTTAATTTCCACTTTCTCTCAAGCAGGAATTGCAACGCGCTAAAATCCAATAAAATATTAATTATAGCCTGAAAATTAATACCGACGAACAAAGCGTAAAGTTACGATATGGGTAACATAGCTACACGGCTATCGGTGTTTCCGGATGAACGAACGGTAACTCGAATCAAAAGCGCGAGGAATTAACTTGTTTAGAGGTGCGAGATTAACTCGCGGGCTAATCTCGCGGAGAGATCCAGACGTAGACCAACTACGTGGCACAGACACCGCGGACAGTAACGAACAAGGATGAGAGGAGAAGAGGGACGGAGGAGAAAATGAGAGAGAAATCAGGAGAGAGTCGAGGGAAGAACGAAGCGAGCGAGCGAGCGAGCGAGAGAGAGAGAGAGAGAGAGGAGGGGAAGGGGAAGAGAGAGAGAGAGAG